TTGATGGGGCCCCACACAACCCAAAGGCATGCGTAAAAAATGCATAAGTGCCCAATTTTGTTATAAACGCGGTTTTATGTATATCTTCGGGTCTCATAGCTATTTGATAGTAGCCAGACGTTAAGTCCAAAGTAGACATATATCTTGTCCGATTTGATCTGTCTAATGATCTCGTCTATAACCGGCAAAGGGTAAACTGGGGAATTTAGTTATGCTATTTAGTTTTCTATAATCGATAGCAAACCTCCAAGCCCTTTTATCCGAAGGAGGGAAACTCGTTCTTTTTCCTACATAGTACGACTGGACTCGCGTATTCCACTATTTATGGGCGTTATTATTTTATTCTTTAACATCTCCTGAATATGTTCTTCGATGATTAAGGTCTTTTTGTTTATCATAGCGATACGGTTTTAGTCCTACAAGGTTTTTTCGGCATTTAATTGAATCTTGTGAGTCACGATCTGACAGTTTTCCCGTTTTTCTGAAAACAATGAGAAAAATTACTCACCACTTGCTGTATTGCTTTACTTTCCTGGTCATTCAGATGGCTAAGGTCCAATTCAGGTGTCTCCGCAGGTTCCACCACCCTCTGGTCCATCTCCAGCACCACGGAACTATCTTGAAAATTTAATTTGGCCCTCGCGGCCCTTAAAAAGGCCATACCTAAAATAAGAGAGTGTTGGAGGTCTTTCACCACAAAAATTAATATTTTGAGATTTTCCTCTTTTATCTGTAAATTTAATGATACTTTCCCGATGCAGTGACATGTTTTTCCTTGCGCCGCTATAATTTCCGTATTTCTGGTTTTGAATAGTCCGTATCCTATAAAAATTCTTTTGAAGAACTTTTCACTCATGAAATTTCCTTCTGCCCCTGTATCGATGAGGGCTTCTACTGGTACATCGCCAACCAGGACTTGTATATTGGTAGCTGTGAGTTTTTTACGATGACTGTATTTAGATGTCTATTTGAGGGTTTTTTCTAAAACTTCCGGGTCTGGACCCTCCCTTTCAACAGGCCCCTCTAGTCGTTTAAAGCTTTCCTTTCAATCTGTGTCTTCTGGGTACGCGGATGCTTATTTTCAAATTTTGTTTTTGGGCCTTGACCTTCGAGTTTCGATGCGTTAGCTTGATAGTTCTTTCCCCCATATGAGCGATTTCCATTTCTGGTTTCCTCCTTCCTTCTGGTACTTGAGAATATGTTTCCCCTCTCGCTCTTTCCGCTATTCTGCGATTTTGAAATTTCACCGCCAATTCGAAAAGTTCCTGCAATGTGGTTGGGTTTCTAATTTCAAAGTAGTCTTGGACAGCGGGTAACAATCTTGGTAATATTATTTCAATTATCTCCGCATCGGGTTTTTTTCCCATACAACATATCCGTTAGTTTGATTTTTCGTAAAATAAAGTCCGTCAATTGTGCTGTATCCCGTTGATAGAAACTATATAGCTCGGCTTCCAGCCGTGCGCGATCTTTCACTATGGGGAAGGCCTTTACTAACGATTTTTTGAAATTTTCAAATGTATACGTCGGGATTCCAAATTCACCTAGTAGAAATTTTCCTATATTTTTCCACCATAGCGCGGCCTGTCCTCTTAGTGCTGATGTGGCGATGGCAACTTTTTGTCTTTCAGGCACAGGGTAGAGCTGAAAGTGGTTTTCTATACCTTCTAAAAATACGGACACCGAATTTTTTCCGTCGAAATAGACGTTTGGCTTGATTGATGCTCTCAAAGTCTGGACCAGGTATCCAAATCCTTCTAACTGCGTTGTCATTTCTTGGTGTTGTCCAGCGGCTTCCATCCAGTTTTCGGCCATTTCAGTTCGATAAGTGTTCGTTCGGGCGCCAATATAACGTTGCGCGCCTACAACTTGCACGCAACCAAGGGTGACTGTGAAAGCTTGTATAAACCACAGAGTCTTGTAAAGGGTTTAAATCCCTTTTTATTCAACGTAATGAATTACAATTGCGTTCTCTTGACGCTTACAAACGGTGCCAACTCGGCAGTCAAAATAAAAATAAGAACCTGAAAAGAAAGTAAAGACAATATTCTAACTACGAGGCTCTCTAAAATAACTAACTCACCGCGTTTTACAAAAGCCGCAGCTAATTCAGCAGACTTGAAGCTCACTGGAACAATTGCAACTACTTCCCGCCAAGCACATAGGCCACAACGCGGGCTTCTTCAATTCTCGATTTCTACCTCCGCGCTCGCTAAGTAAGAATAACTCTCTCACCGAACTCGTTCCTTCTATTTAAATCATACTACTTCCGCTGATAATTTGAATCCTTGCGCGTTCTACTCAAATTTACATATTCTGGCATTGGCAGTTCCAGGGGAAAGTAAGGCTTGACAGGAAAGATAGTTTAAACTTAAAATAAATGTTAGTTAAAGTAAATATAAACCCTACACCTTAAACAGATAACCATCGTATGTTTTGCCATAACATAAATAACCTAACAGAACATAACAATAAAGGCTGCATTCATCGTCTTGACGATATCTGTAAAAAATACTCTATATATTAGTTATACAATATAGTTAAAGATATACTATAATATTAGTTATACAATATAGTTAAAGATGTACAATTTAGTAATTAGTTAATAAATTATGGCAAACACTGGAAGGCTACCTGCCTAGTAATAATTTAATTTCGTTAATGAGGTCACATTTGGCCTCATATTTTTACTTCAATGTACGAAGTAAAGGAAGTATTGTAATCTCGAAACTTTTCGGGTATCATATTTCAACGAAAATCTCCATTTTGACTACTATCGAATGCAATTGAACGATGTTTTTACGTGACATCTGTACGTAAGAACAGAATAACGGATTCTTTTTCCCAAAACGGGTTGCAAAAAAGATTTCAAATGGATTCAGAAGAGATGTTTTCGTGACGTCTCTACGTATGTATGTATGTATCTGGCATAATTCAAAAACGAGTAGCCTCAGAACGTTGAAATTTTGTATATGGGACTTGTTTTGATATATATACATGTTTATGATCTTAAATCTTTAGAAAAAGTTATACTACTTGCGCAATTGCTGCAAAGTTAGTTAATAATAATTTATTTCCTAAACAATATTGATTAATTGATTATATTATCTCCTAAGTTTAATTAAAGTAGAATTATTTTAAAAGAGTGAATCCATACTGGTAAGTTATATTTTGAAAGATGTTTTGAAGTAATTTGAAAGCAAAATGTTAATAATGTTTTAACGGGGACTGGAGTTAAATCATCATGAAGAATAAAATTTCAATTGTAAAAGGAAAAATTAAAACATGTAATCATTGTCATTGATCGGAAATTAGTTGACTTTTCAAGGGGAACAAACCAACTCCCGTTCAATGAACAATAATTGATAAAAATACGTAAATACGAAGGTGTTTCGTCTTTACTCGAGTTATAAGTTAAAGCCAAACCGGCAATTCTAGTCAGGCCAAATATTTCCGCGAATAGAAGGGATTATGAACCAATGCTGATACTCAAAGAACTTATTCTTATGAAGCATTTTAGTCAATTCAATTTGGAGTAAAAATCAATTACTGTAGAGAAATCCGATAAAACTCGAGTAACCGTCCCCGACACCTTCATGTTTATGCATTTGAGTACTATATTATTTGTAGAAATTAAACATTGGAAATTGTCATTATGAAATCGAATTCAAAGTAAAGTTGAAATAAACATAGAAGATTACAAAATAAGATAAATAATGCAAACTTTGTAAAAACAAATCAAAGAAATAATATAAAAATAAATAAAAAATAATATAAAAATATAATAAGAACAGTGAATGTACATGAAGATATAAATATATTATATATATATAAATTTATACTAAGAATATGTTATATACTAAAAATATTGATTATTGATATACTTGTTATCCCTAGATATTTTAATAGAATTATCTTAAAGAGTGAATCCATAGTTAGCAAGTTCAATTCCGAAAATTGCTTTAAAGTAACTTGAATGTAAATTGTTATAAATGTTTAACGGGGATTTGAATTATTAAATAAATTAAAAGCAAGTAATCATTGCCATTTAATTTATTTCTTTTTACAACTGAAATTTTGTTATTCATGATTTAATTCAAGTCCCCGTTAAACATTTTTAACAATTTACATTCAAGTTACTTTTAAAAAAATTTCTGAATTGAACTTACTAACTATGGATTCACTCTTTTAAGATAATTCTACTAAAATTAATCTTAGGAGATAATATAATCAATATTTCTTTAGTAAATAAATTATTATTAACTTACTTTGCAGCAATTGTGCAAGTAGTAGAATAACTCGATTTCGCACTAAGTGAATTTAAGATCATACAACATTTATATATATATATATATATATATATATATATTCGTAAAGACATAAAATAAGAAATTTTAGAACTAATTTTTCACAAAGACCAATGTATACCAACTCTCTTACTCAGCTCCGTGAGCTCAACTTTTTAAATTTTTGTATGTCCATAAAATTTTGTATTTTTTGCTTTAAAATGATTGAATTGTGTTGCTCTTATCTTCCGGTTAAGGATTTTTTGCCTTTAGTTAATATGCATGCTATAGTTGTAGGATTAACAACAATTTAAAAGTTCTTTAAATGCGGCTAACCCTAATTTTTTTTACTATAATATCCATATTTGTTTACATTTGAAACTTAGCAGAATAGTGAATTAAGTCAGCTTCTGCACCTTCAGTATCTTTGTGCCGAGTGGGATCAAAAGTAAACTTTTAGTTTTGTGCACTGAAAAGTCTGCCTTCTTGCCCACTGGCTGAATTGCTTGTTTTGCGTAGAATCTCTAATTTTAATTGTACAAGATGTCATATGGTGTCGACATCAGAATTTTTAGAATAAATTTACTTAGAACGACACATATTTGCACGTTTAGAATGCACCCGTTTACAATGCCAAATTTTAGTTTTGATTACTTTTATTCGGCAACAATAAATATGTGCAAACTTGTAGACAACATGTTTTATTATTTTCAGGATGTGATTTTGACATCTGGTTGCTCACAAGCTCTGGAACTAGCCATCTGTGTTTTGGCCAACCCCGGTCAAACTGTGCTTGTACCTAGACCAGGATTTCCTTTGTATAAAACTCTGGCTGAAAGTATGGGAATCAATATTAAATATTATACCTTATTGGTAAGTTGCTAAATATCAGTATATTTCCCTTTTTTCTGAAGTATTTGTCTCTCTATATGTGCACTTATGTATTTTAATTACATTTATGTATTTAAATAATACTTACTTAATAAAAACGTACACTTATTTATTTTAATTTTAATTGCTTTAAGTTTAATTTTTCCAGATACACACACACACATATATATATATAAATTGTATATTTTGTACTAATAGCAAATTGCAATTTATTTTATTTTGTACATCGGCTTTACCAATCCATAGTCTATAGTTTTTATTACACCTTAATGTGTTTCTTCAAGCGGACGCGTAGGGAAATTGGAACAGAGAATGAAACTAAAGATTTTGGCAAAGTTTTTTCAATTAATTTTAAATTTTAGTGTGTAATTTTAAAGTGTAATTTTAAATTTTAAATAAAAAGTGTTTCGTTTACAGTTTCATTTGTCTGTTTCGGCGAAACGCGATAGGGAGTTAGCTTGATTCGAAAGTCATTAAAAACAATTTCCCCTGAAGAGCCATAATGAGATTCGAATTAGGCTAATGTACCATTTACCGCTTCTTAGTTCTTATATATTTACTTTAACCATTTGTCACACTTTAATTCTTATGTTTAAATATGCCTTACTTTGAGTACAATTCGTATTTAATTTTATTTGTAAATATTCAAGTGTTTGTATTGGTTAGTTTATCTTTATTACACATTTCATTGCACCTTGTTTTACTTATGTTAATATTTTCACGGAACCACAGTATCTAAGAAACTTTTTAGCGTACGAACTAGGAAATTTCTTTTAACTTTTTCTAAATTTTGCAGCTCAATGCGCAAAGTTTTTGACCACATAGGTCTTTTATCGTTTGTTCTTTTTACTTTAATTATGTATATATATGTATATATATATATATATATATATATATATAATTTATATTATCTCCTATATATATATATATATTTATATTATCTCCCTATATATGTATATATATATTATATATTGTAGTAGGGGAGTTGAAGATGCTAAATAACAGTTCCAACTTTGTTTTCCACACCACAGAACATTTAATAAGATAATCAGAAAAGGTACAAAATTAGATTAAATACAAGTGCCGTTTGATACAAAGAGGATTATGTATAGCTTTTACCAGTCTTATCACATAACCGATTAGTGCCTACTCGCATTTGCTGATGTATTAAACAGTACAGTCCAATTTACCACCTTCGCGTGGAAAACTACAGTTCCTTATTCTACACCTTCACGTGCAGCTCACCACCTTCGCGTGGGATAGCACAAGAGTCTCTCTGTCTATGTCATACTCATCTTTCACCTCGCTGCTGGCGCATCGGTGAGGCCCTCTGGTGGTTGTGTCGCACTTACGGATACTACATATATATTACAATTTCATTTAGATTTTTGGAATTTATCAATAAATAGAAATTTCGGTACTTACGTATTAACGCCACCGCAGCTGCAGTTTTTGAGTGCCGCCAAGCTAAACCTAAAATTTTTGCGACAAATCATAAATTAAAACACTTTATTTAAAATCAAAGTAGTCAATCGGATTTCGGTGGAAAATGGGACGATATAGATTTTAACATAGATTCAAAACAGTCTTTATTTTCTTTGACCTGATGCTGTCGCCATATGAACTCCGCTAAATAAGATTCTAAATGATGTCTCGCTCTCCCTCTATGTCTCTCGTTCCTCCATTTAGCACTGCCCCACATTTTATCAACTGTTTGTTGTATGAATTTCTGTATCAGGAACAATAAAATTGTATTTATGATTAACTTTAGCAGGTAGGAATCCTTCTTTTTCTATTCTATTTGTTTGGAAAACTGTCAACTTTCCAACTGTCAGAATACATTGTGCTACCATCTGCAATGTTTTCAAGGATTTTATTAAGAAGGTAGAGCCAGTTCTATTAGGAACAGTGACAACAAAGCGAATCTTTTGTTTCTCTTACATATACCACCAAACACCCACTGTTCTGGGTAATAATCTCAACCACAATTATTTTTAAGCTTAGTAAACAAACTTTCATCAATTTCCACAATGCAATCTGGTCCACCTTCCTTCTTGTTTGGTTTATTCTCCCTATCCAAGACACATAATTCACGCATGTAATTGTTCCAATCTATAACAGTTTTATCCGATAAATCAAATTGCTTTCCATAAAATTTAATCCACGTCAACTCCTCGCACCAGCAGTATATGAATCTCAGAGCTGAACAAAATGGAATTCTGCTTCCTTCAAACCAGTTGTCTTTTCTAAATCCCACTTACTGATCACACTGTCTTAACTTACATTTCCAAAACGTGCGTTTACCAAAATAAAGTTTCATATCATGCGAATTGGTACATTTTCGTTTTTTGGTAAAATATTTCGCTCCTGAAAAAATAAAATTGCAAAAGGAATCCAAAAGATAACTGCGTGCGAACAACAGGATTGTTCTTTATTGGCGCATCAGCGCAACTTCTGCTGCGGTGACGTTAATACGTAAGTCCGGTGGCGTTAATACGTTAGTACCGAAATTTCAAATTATTTCGTTTAACTTTACGATACCGTAGTTATCGTCGTACGAATCAGAATACGCCATATTTATAAGTAACCTGAATTTGTAAGAATGTTTTCATAATTTACATTTTCCTTTCGTAGTAAAAAATGTTCTTTGCCAAGTGACGTTATTTTCATTTAAAAATGCTTATTTTAACTGGGTGGCAGTGTCTAAAGAAATACAGACTTAAATATGATTTTTTAAAACTGATTTTGACTCTTTAAAGTGTTTCTGTTTCTTTGTTAAGTGGACTTACATTGTTTTACGTTCATTTCATCTATTTAATTAAAAGTCATCCTAATTCTGTTTCGTTTGATTGTGATATGCTACACAGAAAAGTTGCATCTGAAACGCTTCTGTTTCGTATTTGATACGTTCTGTATTCCTATATTTTTTAATCTTATTAATTTGTGTAAAATGAACACAACAATCAATGTGAACCTTGGTGAACAATCAGTACAGCATATTTTTACAGTACGCATATTTGTATTTACTCTCAGGCTTTTATTAATTCTTATACTCTTATAGTCAACATGTTTATTGGACAGTGTTAAATAAGGTAGAGAAATAAAATGCCGAAGATTGTGTTCAGCAGAATGTTAAAATAATTCAAAACGTAAACTTAGTTCAAATGAGTCAAAAAAGCAATATTTTGGCTAAATGAATTTTGGCATTATATAAATATAATGTTTATTACAGAATAGGAACATTAAAATTTATTTAAGATATCATTTCAATAGATATCATAGTCAAGAATTAATTATTTAAATGATGTTGTAATATGATAAACTCTGTGCTTGCATAAAATATTACTAAAACTTTTTGAGTGTCTATAGAGTTCTTAATTAAAAAAAAAAATGAATGAATTTATCTTCCGAATTTTATAGCCAGTATTGTTTATGTGCTACTTGCTTGTGATAAATAACATTAAAATTATTAAATTGCTTAATCTTTTGCACCCCTTTTGAAAATGAATATTCTTTATTTCGTTCTGAACCCGAATTCTCGGTTTAATAATTTTGGTTACAGCCGAAAACATCGCGGCAAAAACATCGCAGACGAAAACGTCGCGGAGAAAACAACGCAAGGCGAGAACATCGTGACGATAACATCGCAGACATGCTTTTTTCAGACATGCTTTAATAACTGTAAATGGATATTCCCGTAATGATTCGTGAGCGCAAGATGGAAAGGAGGATAATTTTTACTTTCATATTTTTTATTAATTAATACATTTTTGCTGAGAAAATAAAAAGGAAACTTAAGCATAGAAAATTAATGCAACTTATAGCACTTAATAGAAATTTTAAACCGACATAGTTAACTAACAAAGGCCATTAATAAAAATCATTTTTATAAAGTTTTTACTGAATTAATTTTTCATGAAAAGTATAATCTATAAGTTGCATTTAATTTTCTATGCTTAAGTTTCCTTCTTACTTTTTCAGCAAAAATTTATTAGTTAATAAAAAAATGTGAAAGTAAAAATTATCCTTCTTTACACCTTGTGCTCACAAATCATTATGGGAATATCCATTTATAATTATTAAAACCTGAAAAAAAGCATGTCTGCGAAGTTATCGTCATGCGATGATTTATAGATACTTTATTTTTTACCACGATATTTTCGGCGACGATGTTTTTAAACTGCGAAGTTTTTGAACCGCTTTATTTTTGACGACGATGTTTTCTACCACGATGTTTTAAAACTGCGATGTTTTCTCCCACGATGTTTTGTAGCACGACGTTTTCGCCTTGTGTTGTTTTCTCCGCGACATTTTCGTCCGCGATGTTTTTGCCGCGATTTATCGGCGGACACCATAAATTTTGCTAGTGCCTACTTTTGGATAATTTTTATATATTGTTTGAATGATATACATATTTAATTCACGTCACTACTAATTAAAAACTGGAATTACAACGGAATTTTTAAATTTATATCCACCTTCATGCCATTAAATAAAATTTCTTTATTAATGCTTCCGGTATTTACCTACTAACGCAACCACCTTTCTTATGTAGAAAATATCTTAGGTTCTCCCCCACTTAAAGGGCGACTGGAGTGGTTGGGACCCAACACTAGTGATGAAAAACCTATCCTCCACCATAGTTTGGTTCGAGTACAACTTGTAGAGTCATTTAGAATCTTTCGAATCCGGGAAACCGAAGAAATCCGCAGTGTCCTCGCCAGGATTAGAACTCCTGTCGTCCAGACGGCTTGTCGGACGTGCTTCCAATTACATCACAAAGACAAGCGGGGAAAAGGGAGAAAATATCTCACACCTTGATCGGGCTTGTAAAGTGAGATATTTCTGAGTTTTCTTTTGCTCTCGTTACAGCAAAAAGTTGACGTCGTAGTATTTCGAATTTTAGTTTCCATTTCTCGATCGAGGATTTCGAAGAATATATATTTAGTTCAGAATTATTTGTTTTATACCTCAGGGCAGATGCTATGTCAACCTTCCAGTTCAGTCAGAAGTAGTTTTCTAGATCCGTTCACATTCATTAAGATTATCTCAATTATCCCACAAGATTATTCGAATTATTCAGATTAAGGTTCTCGGTGAATTTACCTTCTTTGACCGAATATGTCAACCTTGCTTGCACATAAATTATTTACCTAGTTGAAAGATTTAAAACAGCATAATCTTGTCAGAAGAAAACACAAGTTTTTTTTTTTTTTTTTTTTTAGCCTAAATGGGCCTAAATTTTTGCCTAAATGGGCAAAAATGTTATTTTAGCCTAATTTTTAATATTTTAGCCTAAAAATGTTTTGCCTAAATGTTTTTAGCCTAAATGGGCATTTTTTTTGTTGTTTTGTTTTTAGCCTAAATGGGCAATTTTTGTTGTTGTTGTTTTGTTTTTAGCCCAAATGGGCAATTTGCCCAGAAGGGCGGTTAATTTTGTTTTGGCATTTTGAGTCGTCCGCTATAAAACGGCGTTTCGCTTTTCAAGTTGTGGCCACCAAATATTAGAGCCCTGCATTATATTTAAAGAAATTAAATAATGAAGACTGTGCATTGAAGGTACGTGTGTTTCTCACATTGTGAAAAAACAACGGTACCTAGAGACATCAAATTTTGAATAACGCAGTCCTCCACTCGAGTATGGGCATCTGGAAGGCTTTTATCATTTTACGTTCTTAATGTATTAGAAAGTCAAAAAGCGATACGTACGTTTCATTACCGGTTCTGAATTTAGAATTAATGCAGTGGCTATAATCATTATGTTGTAATATTATTTCTAATGGCACGTTACAAAACAAATGAGCATCAAATGAAATACAAAACAAACACGAGAAAACTGACATCAATATATGTATAAACTGAGGGCGCTCATACACCTCTCCACCCAGTAGGATGCAAAGGTGCCCCTGGTCTGGTATCTTTGCCACACATCGCCACGACATCAGGAAAATCTATGGAGCACTTAGATCAGATGGAAATATAATTTAAATAGAAGTTTCTTAAATTGAAACTTCGTATAGAAATTATTAAATGCTGATTATCAGCTTCAATAGCATAATGATTTGAAGGCTTGCCGATCCGGTAGATGATATGACGCCACCAAAGAACAGCCAATTAGGATGCCCACTGCATAGCCTCCCCTAACAGCGCAGCGTACATTTGTCCAATTAAGTTATCTAAGGTATGAAACCAGCAGTTATCCATGAGGGATCAAGAAGTAATGGTGATTACGCATGTATATCACTTCAGGAACCTTATGAAAGAACCCTCGGGACATGTTTACTGACGAAAAATTCAGTATAGACAATGGAATAAAGAAACGTGAGAAGCTAGCAGTAAATCAGAACAATATATTGTTACATTTCTACGGGTTCGTGGCACGAAGAATCAAAAACACAATTTATTCACCAGTATTTCACAGAAGAATTCTAAAGACGCGTTTAATATCCTCGAAAAACCACGCCAAACACGCTGAAACAATCAAAAACACAGCTTTCAGACTATAACGATGAAGACAGCTTCACGAAAAAACGCTAAATACAGCTCCCGACTCTTTCGATCACTCTCGTAGCTCAAGATACTCTTCACGATGACTATACAGCAGGGTTTATATAGCTTTCGACCTGCTTTCGAGAACATACTGGGGTAAAACGGTAAGAATGCGTTCTAGAATTTTCTCGCTCCGTCTATGGCATATCGCAAATTTTGTTGCGAAACGTCGCCAAATGGGCGATTTCTCGCCAAATCTAGAAACTTTGCCATCCCTTGCCATTTTTTGGCAATCCTAAACACGTTTTGCGGGGAAGCGATCTTACCGCAGTTGGGAATTTCCTAACAATATCTTCTTGTAGAATCCATTGTCTTCCGAGCATTGAAACACCCATAGTGGACGTGGTAGGCTTTAAATACTGGTTTTGTATATTATAGCAATAACAAAAATCATCAAATTGCTTCTTCTAAGGTTCCTTTTTATCTTGAATGTTATTTGTTTTAAAGGAAAATTTCAATTTCATGTATTCTATTCTTTTTCCGACAGCCGGAGAAAGGATGGGAAGTGGACTTGGCCGACTTGGAACATCAGATTTCTCCAGACACGGCTGCCATCGTCGTCAATAATCCATCCAACCCCTGCGGTTCGGTGTACAGTCGTCGGCATTTGCAGTCCATTCTGGAGGTGGCAGCCAGGAATTACGTACCCATCATTGCGGATGAAATTTACGAGAATTTCGTAAGTTTACAGTTTGTTCGATCGGTTTAAAGAGATTCGTTCAAATTCTAAAGTGAAAACTTCCTCTATCTGTTCATTATGTTGCAGATATCACTACAATGGAATACGTGGGTTGTTTTCAAAAACAATTAAATCGCATTAAAGCTGTTTGTCATAAAGTTGTCACCAATGTGTGATAAATACAAGCACCAATAATGATTCGATCATCCACGGGTTTTCAATTTCAGAATGGTGCAAATTGATAAGCATTCAGTGAAAATCGTGCCACCAATTCTGAATTTCTGGGTTAGTGATAAGAACACTGCGAAAAAAAAAATGGTACAGTTCTATACCTCTCGTTCGAGTGGACCGATTAACGAAATTCAACTTGCGTTTTTCATGTCTCAAAAGCGACCCTTAGGATATGTATTAGATTTATATATATATATGGTAGCAACTTAGTTCACACAATGAGAAAAAATAATTTCTTAAAATATGTTCTTACTTGGCTGTTGAGTACACTATTTAATCCTGCTCGTTTGTGTGCTGTTAAAAAAAAAAAAAAAAAAAAAAAAAAACCAGCATAAATGATTGAAATTCTTCAGCTTCTTTCCAGCAGACGATATCCAAATCATGCGGATCTAACTATGAGACGCGCTCAAAATTCGAAGACAAAGCTGTATCACAATTCACATTCTTCAGTTGTAAAAATCAGACACAACTTGCACTTAAAAAGTTCTTTCTCTTCCATCGGAATTTCTTTCCTTTTGGGTACACCCATCCTGCCGACTCCTTGTGATGTACCAGCTTTTGTCAGGAATAAATAGATTGTTGAAGAATCATAAATGTAGTCGTAGCTTAAATTATCAGACGATAAGTTTAAAAAACAGGATCCATTTATTATTAGTCAGGAGAAATAGCAGTTACAAAATCAGATATCCGGAGTAAATGAAAAAGAACTACTAATAACATTTTGTATGAAGTTTACTGCATCGTGACATTTAAGAAAAAGCCCCGATATTCTTTTGCGAGTCCTTTGATAGCCTTTGGAAGGCGGAGCTTCCAAAAAATGACATCAGCCTCGTCAGCCAATCCAGTTTGCTTTAAATATTTCCAGAACATTCTATAACTGTGCGTGTAGAAAAGGCGGGAAAAACAACTTGACTACGGGGCTGTGGATTTAATTAAACATACTTTCAAATAAGAGACCGTCGCCATTAAAAATGAAAAGAACATACAGTTAGAATTTTAATTGTATTCTTGACTATGAAATCTTATTATTACAAATATATTGTTCTACTGTAGGTATTTTGACATCAAATCAGACCTTTTTCTGAAATGACATGTCAATTTTTTTTACATGTTTCGATTCTAAGACCCAAATTATGCCAAACTGCCAAGTTTTGTAAAAATCGCACGAGTAGTTTTTAAAAAAATTAGCTCTCAAAATTTTACTTCCTCAAAGTTAATTGAATTTAATATATATTTATTAATATCTGCTTTTGTTATTAAACTTACTTTTTCCTTCTTCCAGAATTCGAAATTTAGGTTAATAATTTGCCCATTTTTTATTATTTATTTTAAAATTTGTATTATATAGTTTTTATTAAAATTGTTCAAAAACCTTTTGTAATATAACCTATAAAAATTTTAACATCATCTTAAATTAGATGTATTTCTAAGATAACTGTAAAAAACATTAAAGTTTTGTATTCAAAATTTCCTAAGTTATACGTGACTTTACATTTTGGAGAGTTTTGAAATTTGGCGTATTTAATATAAGCGATAACGACGAAAATGCGTTTACTCATTTTGTTAAAATTTATTTGAAAGAATGAACGATGGATCTTTTTTACTTCCTTGTACGAAGTAAAAAGGAAGTATTGTAATCGCGAAAAGTTTCAGGCAGCATATTTCAACGAAAATATCCCATTTTGACCTCTTTCAAATGCAATTTCAAGATGTATTTCCGTGATATCTGTATGTAAGGACAAAAAAAAAAAAATCACTCTTTTCCTCCAAAAAAATTATAAAACTGCTTTAAAATGAATTATGAAGAGAATTTTTCGTGGCGTCTGTACGAATGTATACGTACGTACATACGTTCGTACAGACGCCACGTACGACGATACGTACGTACGTATCTCGCATAACTCAAAAACGAGTAGCCTCAGAACGTTGAAATTTTGTACATAGGACTCCTATAACATGTAGATGTGCACCTCGTATTTGGTTGCAATCGGCCGCACCAATAGTATATAAATAGATTTATATATATATCCACTCTGTTACCGGGCTCAGTGATCTCAATTTCTTTACTCTTATATGTTTGTAAATTGTAAATTTTTTGCTTTAAAAATGATTGACTTACGTTGTTCTTATCTTCCGGTTAAGGTTTTTATGCCTTTAGTAAATCTGTATGCAATATTTTTAGCATTATCAACAATTTTAAAGTTGCTTAAGTGCCGCTAAGCCTTTTCTTTGATGACTGCCATTGATTGTTTACATTTGAAACAGCAGGATAGTGGATTTGTTGCCAATCTAGAGAAACTTAGATTCCTAACAACAAAGATAACACCTTCATTTATTATTGCGAATTAAATCATGCTTAATCCTTTCTGGAATTTTTTCGAGGAAATAAGTGTTTAAGATTTACCTCGTAATTTTTAATACAGATATTTTGAGTTTTTATGTATTTTTGCCTTGTCGCGAAGTGAGAACTGAATTAATTCAATGAGAAATACTCAATCGTCTGTGAAAAACTGCTTCTTTTTTTTTTTTTTTTTTTTTTTTTTTTTTTTTTTTTTTTTTTTTTTTTTGCTTAACTTCTTTTATACATAGTTCTAGCTTTATTATAGTATTTGAATAGAACATGTGACAACGATTGGATAATTCTTTAAATGATATAAATTTTGTGCATTCTGAGTTATAATATGAACGAAATATAATACTGTTAAGTGAATCTAGCGCCAGAGTGTTGCTATGGTTAACAAATACTAGAGTGAATTTTAAAGAATGCATTTATTCTATTGTGGTTTATGCGCTGTCGGCGAAGTAGATTTAATTCAATCCGATAAGTTTAAATAAAATGCAAGAAAAAATGCGTATAATTTAATATTCCGTACAAGGAAGTCATGTGGTGTACACATCAGGTTTTTTCAAGTGGACGTTGAAATTTTTTAGGACCCGGAAGAGAACTGTAGAAAGTTTGGTGACGGTAGCTACAGTAGTGACTGAGTTAATCGCGAACAAACACACAGACGTTCTTTATATATATAAATATAAGAAATTACTGATTGAATATAATATTTACCACATCTCGAATTTTGATTTACTTTTACATGTATTTATCGTTGTCAGCTTTCCAAGACTGAAAAGCATTTACAGCGGATCCATCATGAAAGTGAATAATACACGAAGTTGTGGTAAATATTACAGTTACTGAAACTGTTTTACTTTTTCAAGTTCTGTCGTTTTTTCGGGTTGATTACAGGTGCTTCATTGTGCACTACAGAATTCTTCCTCCCAGTCCTTTATCAGGTTCCTCGAACTTGGGTCATTCTTACACAACTGCCTTACAATTCTGGATGATGTAAGGCAGGAAACATTGTACAATATTGCTCTCCGAAAGGAACAAATTCTTTCATATCCGAAACAATCCTTGAACTCACGACACACATTTAACCTGCTTTGTCCTACATATCGCCAAACATCTTCTCCCGGCAAGTGCAGGCAGATTTTTCAGCTGTCAAAAAATGGACGTTTAATTTTTTTCTTGAAATGACAAAAAATAAAGAAAGAAAAGGCTTAACTTTCTAAAGAAAAAATACAAAACTGTCTCATGTGTCTTATATAAGATAAAACTACAAGCTAAAAAATTAATGCTAAAAATCGTTAAGGGGGCTCATACACCTTAGACCCCTTAACACCCTTCGAATATGTGACTGTTGCAAGAATTGGGATATTTTATTTATTTTAAAATCAATTACTTCCAACTTTTTACAGCTGACTACGTAATATAGCTGCTTTCTGAAATAGTCATCAGAAAGTTTGTGTTGCCACAAATATTTTTATAATTTAATCCTCTTTGTGACAAAATTTTTCGTCACGTTTCCATCTTGCGCGTACGATAATTTAAAAATGGCTAATGGTACATACTTGAAATTGGATGGAATTCTTTATATGAGCCCTATCTTTTAACTGAACCTAAAATCTGTTTAATAGTTTAATATTAAAAAATTTTATGGACGAAAACATTACAGATTTTTTTAATAAAATACATTTTATAAACTCGACTCCAAACAAAATAAAAATTTAACGTGAAATTCTTAGAATTTTTTGGTTTACAGTATTTTCCAAATATTATAAAAGCTATATATTAAATATAGAATTAAATTATGCAACAGAATGTTTTAAACTGTGCGCGCAAGGTAAAAACATGACGAAAACTTCTGTCAAAAAGCGGATAAAATTATAAAAGTATTTGTGGCAACACAAACTGTCTGATCACTATTTCAGAACACAGCTATATTATGTAGTCATCTGTAAAAAGTTGAAGAACGAAGGCTGGCTAAGAAGGTGGGAGAAATACCTTATAAGATAACAGAATCCTTTAGTTTTTAAAAAAATGTTGCATTGTTTTTATTATGAAGCGTATTAATGTATTGCAGTTTATTCATATGCAATAAATTTGAAAAGTATAGCATAGAAAATGGAATGAAAATTTTCTTGCATGAGATTTAAGTTTGTTTCTTAAGTTTAACTTTAGTATAAATAACTCATTTTATTATTTATATTAGTGGTTTTCTCTCGTACGCTTCAAATACCGTCGAGAAACGCAATACAACACCGGGCGAAGTCTTCATATATAGCCCTACATATCGCCCTAACTATCACCCTAGCTAGATGAAACTCTAATATAACAATTGGAAACGAGCGGAATAGATGGTACGTAATAAATTCTATCTCGTACTCCTAAATTACACATTTCGGGAAATACAAAAAATCTGATGTGTACATCC